ACATTACGATCCGTGAGGCAAACGTGTTCTGCCGGACAGGATGCCAGCCTTCCCCAAAGAGTTTTTCGGCGAAGAGTAGCCCGGCACCTGTAAGCCCTGCGGGGCAATCGCTTCGTAAAGCGGCATGGGCTCGCTCTGCGTCGTGATACCGGCGGCATTGGTGTTGGTGATGAGCGATGCGACAGGGCCGCCGCCGCGAGGGCATCAGCGAGGGCGTCGACGAAGGCGGCGGTGGTGGCGGTGGTGGCGGTGGCGGCGGTGGCGGCGGCGTCGATGGAGGCGGCAATGACGGCGACAGTGCTGACGGCGGCGGCAATGACGGCGGCGTGAGAGGAAATCGGCGAGGGCGGCGGCGACGAGAGAGGCGGCGAGAGCGGCGGCCGTGCTGGCGGCATCGATACTGACGGCGTTGGCGATGACGGCGGCGGCGTCAATGGAGGCGGTGATGACGGCGGCGGCGGTGACGGCGACGGAGATGACGGCGGCGATGACGGCGGCCGTGCTGACAGTGGTGGCGTCGACGGTGCCGGACCTTCATGAGCTGAGAGCCCGTCCTCGATGCGGGGACGAGCCCGAAGAGCGCCGCGTAGGGCTTCTCGCGCACACATGGCCGGGTCGAACGCCGCGTCGACTGGAGCGGCGATGACGGCGGTCGGGTCGATGTCGAGGACGGGCCGAGACGTGACAGTGACCGCGCGAACGCCCTGTGCATGCCGCCGGGGAGCCGGTGCGTCATTCAAGTGCTTGAATGGGAGGCACCCACGGGGCGGTAACGCAGCGGCGCACCGCACTCTCGTCCGCGATGTCCGTGTAGCACTCGGTGGTCGCCTGCGACAAGCCGCCGCGGTGCGGTTGTAGGCCTTCGAGCAGGTACGCGCAGACGGTACGCCGACCTCGTACTGCGAGGGAAGCGGCAGCGACCGAGGAGGCGACGGTGAAGTGGGCTGCCGGCATGCCGGAGATGGCGACGCGGGCCTGCGCGAGGGCGAGGAGAAGGGTGGAGGCAGGCGGGAAGGCGGGCGGGCGGAGGGGGGAAGACGATCTGGAGGGGGGGAAGGGGGGGGGGGTGGGGGGAGGGAGGGGCGAGGGCGCCGCGGCCGGCACCTTCTCCGGACACGGCCCGCCGCCCTTCATGAGAGCTGAGAGCCCGTCCTCGATGCGGGGACGAGCCCGAAGAGCGCCGCGTAGGCTTCTCGCGCACACATGGCCGGGTCGAACGCCGCGTCGACTGGAGCGGCGATGACGGCGGTCGGGTCGATGTCGAGGACGGGCCGAGACGTGACAGCGACAGCGCGAACGCCCTGTGCCGGCGGGGAGCCGGTGCGTCATCCAAGTGCTTGAATGGGAGGCACCCACGGGGCGGTAACGCAGCGGCGCACCGCACTCTCGTCCGCGATGTCCGTGTAGCACTCGGTGGTCGCCTGCGACAAGCCGCCGCGGTGCGGTTGTAGGCCTTCGAGCAGGTACGCGCAGACGGTACGCCGACCTCGTACTGCGAGGGAAGCGGCAGCGACCGAGGAGGCGACGGTGAAGTGGGCTGCCGGCATGCCGGAGATGGCGACGCGGGCCTGAGCGAGGGCGAGGAGAAGGGTGGAGGCAGGCGGGAAGGCGGGCGGGCGGAGGGGGGGAAGACGATCTGGAGGGGGGAAGGGGGGGGACCTCGTACTGCGAGGGAAGCGGCAGCGACCGAGGATGACGATGATGACGATGGTGATGATGGTGATGAGGGACTCGTACCAACCATTCTTCTTGTCGATGACGGAATCGGCGGTGGAGAAGTCGGAGGTGAGCGCGGAGAGACCCGAGGCGCGACCGCCGCACGCAGCGAACAAAGAGCTGGTCCGCGATGTAGCAGATGTTGTCCGGCACGGAGAGCGTCGTCGCCTACACAAGCAGGGGCGGGGCGTCAGAGTGGGGGAGGGGGTGGAGGGAGGGTCCTTTTGCCTCGTCCGGGCGAAGCAGCACCTACGGGAAGGTTCCGAGAAAGTTCAAGGGCCCACCTTCTGGAAGGTTCCGGGAAGGTTCCGGGCAGGCCACGGTGTCGGTGCACACAGAGAGCGTGCGCGAGCTGCGCGCCTGCTCGAGGCCAGGTCCCTCTCGGCTCGCCCCGGGCTCTCCACCCCTACGAGCCTCATGAGCAGCGCGGGGTTGCCCGAGCATTCGAGGGATGGGATGAATGGGCAGCAGCCTGCGTCAAGACGATCAAGGGGAGGATGTTGACGACGACGATGAAGAAGAAGGTGACGTTGTTGATGATGATGTTGACGAGGGTGGCGATGAGGATGGTGACAAGGATGGTGATGAGGATGGTGATGAGGATGGGGGCGAGGATGCTGGTGAAGACGGTGACGATGATGGTGATGCTGACGACGGCGCGAGGACTTATCATGCTGATGCTTTGCGGTGATGGTGATGAAGGGCAGGGGGCGATCAGTACGACCGATCAGCCAGGGGCGGCGGGCTTGGCGGCGGGGGCAATGGCGGTGGTGGGGACGGCGGAGGGGGTGAGGGAGCGGGCGGCGACGGGGGAGGTG